GAAGGGAAAGGAAAAATGCTGAGAAATGGAAAAAATGGAAATAAAGTCTTTGTAAATAGGGAAGGGTGGAGGGCATGAAGGGAGGGCTAGGAATGAGAAAAAAAATAAGGATCAAGATGCATTACGTCGGGCCGGGGATTTAGCTCAGTGGTTTCGTTGCTTGATGCGCAAGCGCAAGGACCCAAGTTCGATCCCCGGTACCAAAAAAAAAAGAAAAAAAAAGCATTATGTTAAGGTACAATTCCCAATGAGAAATGTAATTGTGTTGTATACCTACAATGTACCAATAGAAGAATTTAATAAAAAAAAAAAAAGATGTTATGCAATACACAAAGGCTAAAATACAAGTAAAATGTTCTGTATGTACCAAGAGCCATCCTAAGAAATGTATTTATTAAGACATCTCACTAGCCAAACTGAAAGCATTCATAGGTCTGCTGTACTTAGCAGGGTTTTCTCATAGTAATTGCAGGAATGTAAAACACTTATGGGAAAGTGATGGGTATGGGCTTCTGGTCTGAAGAATAACAATGACACTGAGGAGATTTGGTTTCCTTTAAAATTTCCTGAGGTTTGATGACAAAATCACCCACCAAGAAAGAAAAAGAATTGATAATCTGGCTGCTGTACACTTACTGTGAGATTTGTGGGTAACTGTCAAACAATTTATACACCATCTGAATACATGACTACTGACGAACATCTTGTAGCATTTCAGGGTCACTGTAGTTTCTGGCAGTATATGCCAAAAAAACCTTCAAATATGGCATAAAAAATTATGCTTTTATAGATGCAAAGACTTATACTTTCAATTTAGAAATTTATCCTGTAACTCAGCCACCAAGTCCTTATTCACATAGTAATAAACCAAATGATGTTGTGAACACACTTGTTGCTCCCATCTCCCAAACTAAGTGGAATGTGACATTGGACAACTGGTTTACCAGTTTTTAACTGATGTTACATTTGTTAACAGAGCACAAGTTCACCAGCATAGGAACTGTACACAGGAACAAAGCAGAAATTCCAAATGAAATGTTGCAATTTCAAATCAGAGAATTGTATAATACAATCTTTGGATTTCAGAAACATGTAACATTGGCCTTGTATATGGCAAAGAAAAACAAACTGGTACAGCTGGTGTCAACATTGCACCATGATGGAAATACTGATAGGGAAACTTTGACAAAACGGAAGCATGAGATGGTAACTTTCTACAAGAAAACCAAAGGTGAAGTAAATGTTGTTAATGAGTTATGCAGCAACTATGATGTCACTCAAAACACAAAGCAATGACCAATGGTTGTTTTACTTGATCCTAAACATGTCTGCCATAAAGAGTTTGATAGCTTATAAAGAAAACAGCAAGTGCAAAATATCATGGAGAAATTTCCTTAGGAGACTGACACTGGAACTCCTAAGAGACCATTTACAGCAAAGGAAAAACAAAACATTTCTGCCCAGGGAACTATGCAAAAAAAATCGTGGAGCACACTGGTGAAATGACAAGTGAACAGGCAGGCAGAGCATCCCAAAGACCTACTACAACAACAGGAAAATCAAAAAGACATCAACTGTGTCCTAACAAGAAAAGACAGGAAAACAAAACATATGTGCTATCAGTGTAAGTGGTACTTGTGTATGGAACATGCAGTTTTCATATGTGAAGACTGTCTTGGGTGTGACAGTCGAAGGAAAGATTATTTCTGTTGTAGACTTTTGTTTGTATTTACATTGTGATTCACATAGGTTTTTGTTTCTGATGTTATCTTTTAGATTTTGTGAGCAAATAAACAGCTGATGTGAAAATGTTGATGTCTATTCTTAATATTTTATTGATATCTTACTTTCCTGCTATGTGCACATTGTACAAATAGTAGGAAGCTCCTGACAAAACAGGAAGACAAAAGAGGTGACAAGAATGGCCTGCCACATAGGAAAGGAAAGCTAAGGACATGTGCTATCAGTATAAGCAAGACGTGCACATGGAACATGTAGTTGTCATGCATGAAGATTGCCTTGGGTGTGACAACTAAAGCAAAGATTATTTTTGTTGTAGAGTTCTGTTTCACTGTAGTTCATACAGGAATTTATTTCTGATGTTATCTTTTAGATCCTGTAAACAAGTACACAGCTGATATGAAAATGTTGATGTTGATCTTAAACAGACAATACATATTAAGAATTTAATAGTTATTTTAGGGGCTGGGGATTTAGCTCAGTGGTTTCACTGCCTGCTGTGCAAGCGCAAGGACCCAAGATCGATCCCCGGTACCAAAAAAAAAAGTTATTTTATTGATATTTTATGTTTCTGTTAACTATACATTGTGTAAGAAGAACCTTCTGATAAAACAGCAAGACCAACAGATGTCAAGTATGTCCTACAAAAAGGTGAGGAAAGCAAAACACATGTGCTGTCAGTGTAAGTGATACATGTGTATGGAATGTACTATTGTCATATGTGAAGACCGCCTTAGGTGTGATAACTGAAGATTACCTTTTTATAGATTTCTATTGATATTTTTATTATAGTTCATATTGGAATTTATTTCTGTTGTTCTTTTTTAGACTTTATATATCAAAAAACAGTCAATGTTGAAAATTTTGATGTTTTTACAAACACTCAATAAATATTAAAAATTCATACTTTATTTCTTTGATATTTTTCCTGTTAAATATTCATTGTTTAATATAATAAAACTCTTAAAATTAAAAATTCATCAATAGTGGGCCAGGGATTTAGCTCAGTGGTTCCACCACCTGCCTCGCAAGAGCAAGGTCCTGAGTTCAACCCCCGGTACCAAAAAAAAAAAAAAAAGAAAATTCATCAATAGAAATATTCTAAAGAATAAACGTGGGTATTATACACCCATGTTTCTGCACCTTTATGACAAAATTGGAATTATGCCCTACTAATCTCAGTTTTCTGAAAAATGCATATACAAAATGAATCCTGCAATTGTTTTAAGGATTAAGGAAGATAACACATCAAAGTATTTAACCTGGTGCCCACCATAAGTAAAACAGTATTGATCTCCTATCTCCCTTGCAATTTATTCCCTGGGGGCAAGTTCTATACAAATAAATTCTTCTCTCTAGAAGGCCACTCCATTTCACATGGAAGTAGAACAACAAAGCCTGGTCAATTATAAAAACAGTATTTTATGAAACTCATTTCAACAAAGTAAAAGCAAACAAAATTTAACTATCATGAATATTGTCAGTGCATTTTCTTTTAAAATTACTGGTAGTGCAGAAACAATTTTGAAATAATCCTGAGTGGTTTGTCTGACAAGACTGGCAAGAATGACTTGTTAGACAGCCTCTCTAATGAGAGATAATTTTCATTGGCCTCAAAACAGGATCATTTGTAGGCAGAAAGAGCAATATCAACTTACTTAGTGAATCCAAATTCTTTGGATGACTGCTCAAAGTAATATTTTTCACTCTACTTCCTCAGGCTCTTAGAAATCTTAACACTTTCCTCTTACCCTCCCCTTCCTGCCCACACACAAAAAAGCATAACTCTCATCACTGCAAATATTTTATTGAGCACTCACTATATTGTTGAATGTTACTAGGAGAAACGAATTATTTTAAAAGGTAACTCACATCAGTAAGCCAGTACAATTATTCTGAAAAGTACAATGGTACTGAGTCACAAAATGCTATTAAACTTTAACCCAGTGTTCCATTCCTGAGTAAAAACTAGAAAAATTAAAAGAAAAAAATATACAAAAAAAGTCACTTTATTACTGATCAATGGTAGAGCACTTGCCCTGGGATAGATCCCCAGCACTTAAAAAAAAAACCAAAAAACAATTCAGCCAATTTTCTAAACCTTTGATGGAACATGACATAAATATTAAAATAACACGGGACAGAGTTGTAGGAAATACAACTTTGGAAAGAAAGCAAAATAGTAAACTTTCTACACTATAAAAAATAAAGTATATAACATATAAATGATCAAAAATATAGAAACAGTAAACTTCCTAACTCGAGAGAATTCTGTATTCAAGAAGCAAAGTTTCTTACCACCATGGCTGTATCTCTGGTTTCCTCCAGTCCTTCCTCCAAATCACTCAAAGGCTCAAGGTCTACATCCTTTTCTTTTTCTTTTTCTACTAATTCTTTTGCTTTTTTCCTTCTGTTTTTACCACTCCCATATATACCAATGTCAGTCCTAGGACTCAGCACCTACAAAAATAAAAACAAAGTTCGAACTCTGATTTTCAAAAATATCTTCAAGTAAAAATGGTAAAAGGAATCACTCTCTTAAAGAACTTTATACACGGTATCTAATTCAGTATTTCCAACAATCCTGTGCAGTAGGTACTTATTTTCCATATTTTACAAAGGAAACTGAAATTTAGAAAAGAAACAACCTGTCCAAGAACAGAGGATTAACAATTAAGGAGCAAGTCTTCAAACCTGAAGCTATTTTATTCCAAAGCCTACACTCTTTAACTACCATGTTCAACTGCTCAATATAAAAAGGACAGCTGAGTATTCAAATTGTCCTTCTGAGAAATAAAATCTGCTGGCACACACCAGTAATCCCAGCACTCAGGAGGCTGAGACAGAAGGACTAAGTAAATTCAAGGCCAGCCTGTACTACACAGTGAGTTCAAAGCCAGGCTGAACTACATAGTGAGACCCTGTCTCAAAAAAAAAAAAAGAAAAAAATATCTATTGTTGGGACCAATGCTACATAATTTTAGGGAAAAATCATTTGATTAGATCTAGTTCTCCCCCCTACAGGACAGCTATGGGATTTCGAAACATTATTCCATTTTGGCCTCCAGTCACAACTGAGACCTCAACGATCATCCCTGATGCTGTGATGCTCCAGGGTAAGATCACACCTACTGGAGACATCCTGGAAAGAACCAAATCTTCATCTGCATAGTTCTTCATGGATCTAGGAATTCTGCCACTCCCCAGTTATGTTACATTTGTTTCTCCCTACTACTATATAAAAGGTGCGGCAAGCTGGGGAGGAGGTGGGGGGGCTTTCATCTTTGCTGCCCAGAGCAGCACAGATCAGGCCCAAAGCTCAGCTTCTTCTCCAAGTCTCATTTTTTCTACCTTTCCTCCTGTATAATAAGTTAATTCTCCTTGTGCTGCTGTGGCTCGCAGGAGACTAGGACTTACTGTACAGGTTCTAGTAACGTCCCCTTTTCCTGTTCCCTACATTTGGCACCCAACATGGATGTGAATCGGATCCATGAGTGAACTCGCCTGGGACAAACTCAAGAGTAAAAGAGACAGCACACAGATCTCCCAGGACAATTTCCTGACTCAGACGAGGGACACTGGTGGTAAGTGTGTGCGTCCAGCTGGGGGTAATTTTCTATCTTTGCTGAGTTATAACTATGGGTCAGTCTCTGTCAACAGAGCAGCATAACTTTGCCAAATTACTTAAGTCGCTGTTAAAGCAAGCTAGGTACCCAGTACCTAAGGATGCTGTGATAGATTTGTTAAAAGACATACAAATGTACGTCCCATCTTTTCCCCAGGAAGAGACAACTAACTTAATAGCATGGGAATGTGCAGGTACTGTTCTCCGTGAGGCCCAGTGAAGGGGTAATTAATTGCCTTTCCCCCTCGAACGCTCCCCACTTGGGCCTTAGTCCACTTTGCTCTCAAATTCTCTCAGTCAGTTCAGGAGACCTCAGCTACCCTTCCCCGCACCAACCCTTCTGTCCAGGCTTCCCCTCATTCGGCTTCTTCTCCAGTTTGCTTTCATCTCACTGCGGCTTCTGCTCCACCACCAAAGCGTGCTGAGGAGAACTCTAATTCTCTAGCCCCTCAGCCTCCTCAGGTATCTCGCAAAGGTCCAGCTGCCCCTCTTGTGAAGCCCACTTCTGGGGCCACTCCCTATCGCCGTATCCTGCAAAAGGCTGTGACACTGAGCAAGGTGGTGGGAGACCCTCTGTGCTTTCCTATCTCAATTTTGCCTGATATCGACAACTCAGGGGTGGACATGTATGTTCATGCCTCATTTGATTTTAACATCCTAAAGGAGCTCAGGCAGAGCATGCTAACTAATGGCGTCCAAAGCCCTTATACAATGGGCTTCTTGGACAATGTACCTCAGACTTATTCTCCGGTTCTGCATGATGTTTTTCACCTTGCAAAAACTTGCCTGTCCCCTGCTCAGTAACTGCACTTTGAGGTGGAACTTCATTCATTAATCAGGGAACAGGGTCCTAAGAATCGCTCAGGGAGATGCTCAGTCAAGAGAAATTACTACTGATATGTTATCTGGCAAGGGTGACTTTTCGGATTTAGGCAGGCAGGCCCGTTGCCCAGTGTTACTCTTTCACCAGCTATAGGACCTCCTGTGGAGGGCTTGGGCTTCTGTGCCAGTTGATAGTGCCTCGACGCAATCTTTACTCAAATCATGCAAGGGCCGTTGGAAACTTACACAGAATTTGTAGCGAGATTACAACAAACTATTAGGAGACAGATTTCTAATTCCTAGGCAGCAGACATCCTGACTTTACAGCGAGCCTATGAAACTGTTAATATGGATTGCAAACAGGCAATAAATCCTGTTCACTCCTCCTCCTCCTCCAAAGATCTTGGAGCACATATTAAGGCATGCCAAAATATTGGGTCTCCTTTATACAATTTGGCTCTGATGGCTCAAGCCATCTCCCAACATTTACATGGTACACACAGTGATTTAAAATGTTTTAATTGTGGAAAATTGGGGCATCTCAGAAAAAAACTGCAAAATCAAAGTGGCTTTACAAGCTGACCCAGAGCTACTAGGTCAGGCATCCAAAGAAAGTAAGCTATCACCTGGCCCTTGCCCTCACTGTCGAAAAGGCATTCGCTGGGCTAAAGCCTGATACTCCAAATATGGTAAGGATGGCACACTGCTGCCAGGAAAATGGAAATTGGGCCCAGGAAACTATAGGAGATCATGGCCAGGGGGCTCCAGTCCCCTTGAGTCAGCAGTACCCAGTTCAGACCCATGCATAAGTATAAAATCAGACAGCATGAGTGTCTGGAGGGCTATTTCCTTCCTCTTCAGGGGAACACTCAGGAGCTCAGGAATAGATCTTCCTGGTGCTCAGAGAGTTCACCTGCTGAGAGGTGAGACGCCAGTATCTGTCCCCATGGGAATTCATGGACCTCAACCCCACCCCCACCCCCTGGAACAACTGGTTTGATACTTGGAAAATTCTCTAACTTTGCAAGGCATTACTGTTATTCTGGCTATTGTTGATTCTGATTGTAACTCTGAATTGTGCATTCCTGTTAGTGCCACGGTACTTTGGGTAATACAACAAGGAGATTATACTGCACAATTGTTGCTCTTGCCTAAACCAAAATTAAATAATGTTAGCTTTAAAAAGTCCCAACAGGATCCTCAGCCGGAAGTTCCTCAAGAAGAGATTTATTTCACCCAAGAAAAAACTGCTCCATGTGCAAAAGTAAATTGAATGGCAAATTCTTTACTGATAGACACAGACTCAGATGTGTCCATGATTGGCACATGTTTTTGGCTGTCATCTTGGGGCAAAAAACCAACTAAAATATCTCTGGTGCCCTTGGCGCCCCACCAACAAGTTTTGCAAAGCTCCATTCCCCTGCCTTATGAAGGGCCTGATGGTCAATTGGGACATATTTGTCCTTACATAGCTGGCCTGTAGGCAGGAGAACTAGGCCTAATCAAATGATTTTCCCTAAAATTATGTAGCATTGCTCCCGACAATCTATCACTGACAGAGCCCAATAACAATAGAGTTAAGATCCAGGCTAACTGCTTTTTCTGGACAAATAATAAGATCAACCCGAAATGGCTTTGTGTAAGGTGTCAGATTTCAGGTAAACATCTGATACTACTAATAGGAATCACGTGTAATGATGACTACATTAAACTGAAAACAACTGTCACCAATACTACCATCTGTAGGTAACAATCTATCAACTGCTGGTGAAAATGAAGTACATGTACAGTAAACTACACTTCACCTGTAACAATGTATGGCTGGAGTTTTTCTTAAGAAAGGTCCGCCCTGTTCGTTCTCTCCAGGCCCGTGCTGCTGCCACCTGTGACTCCACCTGTGGCAGTGCATCAAGTCGTACAGGGATAGGGCGCCCTTTAGCAGATAAGCTTTCAAGCTGTTCCAAGTAAGCATAGTTGCTGCCACTCTGAAAAATAAAAGTAGAGTCTCACACAATTTTCGTTCTCTTATAATACCTGGCAATATACCATTGGAAAAACTTACAAGTTTAGGGTTAACTTTTTTGTTTAAAAAAACCTAACCATGAGTTCCTAATATCTCCATTACACTTATACTTCTACATGGGTTTATAATGACCAAAACAAAGTTCATTTGGTTGGTGCAGGTCATCATATATGCCCAAAGGAGATCACAATCTTACTGAATATTCAATCTTACAACCACTACCAATAATCTGACTTTCTTTGAAGACTCCATGTCTACACCTCCGTCCATAACCTACACTGAGCACTTCCTAATTATATAAGTTCCTTACCTTTGTATTAAAGGGCAGTCCTGACAAAATTTAAGTGACTTGCATTTTTCAGGCAATTACTACAGAGGTGACTTATACAACTTTAGAATAACCATATGTTATGTATATAAGGCAACATACCAAATAATTCAAAAGGCAGCCATACACTTAGCTTTATGTTTTCTAAAAGGGCTTTCAGTCTAATAAAATTTTTACATCACACTGTCAAGCAGTGTTGTTTTTCATTTTTTTTCTTTTTTTTGGTGCCAGGGATCGAACTCCAGACCTTGCACTTGAGAAGCAGGCAGCGGAACCACTGAGCTAAATCCCCGGCCCAAGCAGTGTTGTTTTTACTTTTGATTTACATCTAATTCATATACTTCTAATTTCACATGTATAAAACAGAGGATATGCCTACCAATTTTCATTATTCCTAACCCACCACCATATATTTGTGACTCATTATAATTTACATAATTAAACAACCTTCAACCTCCTACTAAACAAAGTTTATATGGGGGACTAGAGGTATAACTCACTTGACAGTGTGCTTAATATTAAAAAATATTTGTACAAATTCATTTTTAATGAACATGTCAAAGATTTTATTTCATTAATGAGATAATTAGTAAGATGTAAAAAAACAGTTCAAAGGAACAGACATGTAAATTAATTAGGAATGAAGAAATTAATTTGTTAATAGATGGATGCAAGCATTTAATACCATTTAGGACAATGAAATTTATTTATTTTATGGTACTAGACATGGAACCTCTATCCTAACTCTTTTAAATTTTGAGACAGGAATTCACTAAACTGCCTAGATTGGCCTTGAGCTTGCAATTTTCCTCCCAAGTATCAAGTTAAAAACACATGCCAACACACTCAGCTGGAATCACCTTTTCTATAGAGTGGAAATCAGCTGTGCCATTACAGACAAATTTAACTGCCTTTCTGTGTACAAAGAACTAAAAGCTTTAGTTCTGGTAATCATCTTCATTATACATAAAGAGATAAAAATGACTATTTTCCTTCTAAGTTCAAAGTTTCAGTACTTCCATGTAATGAAGTCATTACTGTCTTTAGAACTTCTATACTGCATTCCAGTAAAAGGTTACTTCTCACGTATTAACACATTAGCCTGTACACTCATTCTGAAAGACACACTGATGCATGTGGAAAAATAAACAGGCAAACTTATAAATTTTCAAAAAGAATAATGAGGTTTTTGTTCTATGAAATATTATAACGGGATAAGTTAATCACTATGGTACCATGATAAGATACACAGTTAAATGGAATAAATAAAAAAAAAAGTTCTGACACAGACCAGGTCAAGAATAACATATTTACTACTATTCCTTCTTGTTTCCATCTAGAGCATTTGATTACATAACAATGTCCGTATAAGCCTAGATACATCCTATCCCAAATGTATGTATTCTAAAGAAGCCTGCCTATGAACAGAATCTGTTCACTTACGCAGGGTCTACAAGTCAGTATTGCACTGGAGAGATAGACCTGGTAGAGAAAGAGTCCTTGAAAATTACAAAGGAGACATATGACAGCTTTTCAACTTAGTCTTTCAATTATAAGTAAACACCCAATTAAGTATTATCAGATTTTGAGAGCAATCAACTACCTGAAATACAGGTCAAAGACAAAACAAAGGAGCTGTCCTTATATATATATATATATTTTTGGTACTGGGGATCAAACTCGGGTCCTTGCGCTTGCGCAGCAGGCGGTGAAACCACTGAGCTAAATCCCCGGCCCTATTTTTTTTTTTGTACCAGGAATCAAACTCAGGGCCTTGCGCTTGCCAGGCTGGCACTGTGCCACTGGGCTAAATCCCTGGCCCAAAACATATAATTTTTGAAAAAGGAAGAGGAAACAGTGGCAGCTAAGCAGGTTTCAGAAAAAAGTCAACTGAAAATTTAGAATGTAAAAGAGAAGTCACCACAATTTGACACCTAGAATATTTTTTCTTGGAGCAGCAGTTTACTGGAAGAGAGTTTTATTTTGTTTGGGTGCAGCTCTGTAAGTAAATGTATCTATAGGATTGGGGATATAGCTCAGTGATAGAGTTTGCCTAGGTAAGGCTGTGGGCCTTATTCCAGAAGAAAAAAAAAAAAAGAAAGGAAGGAAGGGAGAGAGAGGAGGGGAGGGGAGAGGAGAGGAAGAAAATGAGAATATTTATATACAGTATACTGTAGATGCTATTAACAGCTTTTTAAAATTTAAACATACCTTCAGCAATAATTTCACTGTTTTGAATTCCACATGTGTAATACATATCTCCAACTAGAAAAATATGCTATTTTGAATGCCAGCGTCCTTTCTTTTTTTTTTTGCACATAGAAAACAGGCCTACTAGGTCTTTTATGCAGTTCAACATAGAAGGTGACACCACAGTAAGATAAGCAAAGTTCCAGTTTGGGTGCCTCCATTTCCTACCCCTGTATCCTGATCCAGTGGCTGCCAAAAACAAAAGGAACTGAGTAGGGTGCTTGGTCATGGGGAAAGCCGCTGTGGTTGGCCTGGCAGATGGCAGAGGGAGAGGGTTTCACTTATTCGCAATCTGAATGACATCCTCGTCCTCCAACGGATGGTCTTTAACCACTTTCTGAGGATTGTGTTTCACAGAGAGACCCCAGACCAAAGAGTATTTAAATTCTTTGATAAGACTTTTACGAATCTACATGCAGAAATCCTCCACCGTGGTCCTGGAGTAAGGCAGCACCCCAAGAGATGTATAATCTGGTAATTGGCCTTGGGGTTTGGTGCAGATTCTCACTAGTTTCAGATAGTCCCAGATCTTTTCTAACTGGTCGTCAAAATTCCAGCAGTGATGGGCAGAGATGGGTACACAGTGTGGCACCTTACAGATGATGTCCAATTCCTCAAAAGAGATCTGGTTAATCTTGTTTAATACATAGGTACAAGGGATATACACTCTGTTTCCTTCCACCACATCAATGAGGTCATCAGCTGTGGCATTGCTACGCAGAGTTACATCAGCATTATGAATTCTGTACTCAGCCAGAATGCTCTTCACAGTTTCAGCATCCAGCTCTGAGGGCAAGTGGATGTGAGATCAATGCCTCATCTTTCTTCTTAAAGCTGATGTTAGGAGGTTTGCTATTCAAGTGAATGCCAAAGCCTTCCAGTTCGTTTGCAATTATCTTCTTTTACCCCAAGGCTTTCAGGACATCCAGAACATGTATGGGCCACTGCAATGAGTTGACAACCTCTACCTTTCCCATCCTTGGTACCTTTGTATCTGATGACACCAGGCAGAGTGGTCAGAGTAGTGAACTCATAGGCTGCCACCTCAGAATATACTCCTGCCAGGTTACTCAGCAGTGTTGACTTCCCCACAGATGGAAAGCCCACAAACCCAATTCATGCATCACCTGTCTTGGCCACATCAAAACCTTCTCCTGGCCCACCACCACCACCACCTTTTGGTGTAATGAGTTCTCTACGAAGCTTAGCAAGCCAAGCCTTAAGCAGCCTTAGGTGATGTGCCGTGGCCTTGTTCTTTTGAATCCGCGCCACCTCAGCTTCAATCTCCGCAATCTTTGCTAAAGTGCTGCTCATGGTGGCGAGTCACAGGGTACACAGCCCCCATACTAGTTGTCTCCCCTCATACACCACACTGTGGGCAAGCCACCACCACCAGGGACTATCGTGTCCTATCTTTCTTTACACCCCTTCTCTCACATGGCTGCTCCCAAACCTAAAAAGTACCAAGAGTGCTGAGGTATTCAGTTAATATTAATTTAGTTGTATTTTTCTGCCTGTTTTAAAAGTAATTCGTGCACATTAAAAAAACATTTAAAGAATGTTAACAGGTAATAAACTCCCTACTGGTAAGAGTTGAACAGCTAATTCCATCACCTTTGATAACAAAAATGAATAATGTTGAAGTGGGTAATCCTTGCTCTGAACTATGAGATGGAAGAATAAGTGAATTTTAAGCACTGTGAGTATTTTACTATGATTATTCAATTATAAAGAACTAAAGGCTTAAAGGATTCATCTGAGACAGTAGGTTCATCTGACAAGTAGGTTAATACAAAAGTCTCCTTACCTGAATAGCTTCCACTTTTGCTGTCCACTCTCGAGCCTTTTGTAAGGCTTCTTTCAGAGACAACACATTGGGTAGAAAAGCTGGAATGTTTTTGGCTTCATTGACAATGCTTTCTAAACTTGCCACACTGTGCCGAGGTCTAGAAGAATAATAGAAACAGGGTCCGATGCATGAGAGAAAGTCCAACTGATACCAACATTAAATAGTATTTTTATAATGTGCGGACAACTTTCACACACGAGTTCATTTAATTCTTACCCCAATCCTATTAAGAAAGCAAAGCAGCTATCCTCTTTATTTCTACTTCACAGATAAGAAAACTTTAACTCAAAGAAGGTAAGATTTTTTTCCCCTAAAGTCTTTTAGTGAAGAAATGACACACCTGAAGTATGGAACAAGTCTCAGCTACAGGTCCCCCCTTTTTTAAAAAATTTTTTTTTATTTTATCCCATTCCCCTCCCCTCAAGCCCCCTTCCCTATGTACAAATCCAGGCCCCTTTTGCTACCCACCCTCTACTCTAGCTCACTACAATACCTGAAATGGTCTGAAATGCATATTTGATAACAATGAGGGAAGCAAAAGACCATGAATCCATTAATATTGAGTATGAACATTTAATTCAACTACACTCATTAATACCTAGTTCTACAAAGATGAATAAAACATAAACCTTATTGTCAACTAATCAGAACACAAGATAAGGATTACTTACACTGGGATCTAAGAACAAATTACCACAGGTTCACAACTATAAGGAGTAGTGATTAATTCTGCCTTCAAGAGCTGAGAACTTTGACTCAGGCCTTAAAGAACTATAATTTTGTCAATGGAAAGATTAAAGAAACCACTAAACAAAGGTATGGACAAACATATAAAAATAAATTGGGGTCCAGGGATTTAGCTCAGTGGTGCTACTGCCTCCCTCGCATGCACAAGGTCCCAAGTTCAATCTCTGGTACCAAATAAATAAATAAATAAGTTGGTAGAGTTCACCTTACAATGGGGTATGGCGTGATGGATTGGGGGGTCGGGTGGAGAAAATAGGGGAATCTGATAGGAAAGAAAGATACAAACAGATTAGTTTCGAGAAACATAAATTCCACTCACTAGGAAAAGCAAAAGGAAGTAACAAGAGTGAGAGGGTTTCATCATCCATGATTCCTACCATGTGCTAGCACTGATCTAGGTCCCGCAGATTGCCAAAGAGAAATAATGACAGGGGCCAGGGATTTAGCTCAGTGGCACTGTGCCTGCCTCAAAAGTGTAAGGTCCTGAGTTCGATCCTCAGTACCAAAAAAAAGAATGATAAGCCTTTGCCTCACGAAACTTTTTAATCTTTTGGGGAAGATTATTAATAAGGAATTATGATACACTTTGATAAGTGCAATGATAATGGAAAGTAAAAGTACTTCAAAATATATAGGAAGACTTAATTAATTTGACAGGTTAAAGAAGGCATCCCAGAAATGATATCTAAACTTTTCATCCTTTCTGAATCAGAGATAGTCAGAGAAGGCAGCACCAGAGGCAGGGCAGCGGGTGCTGGAGGTGTACTACAGGGCACAGGCAGACCAAAATAGACATGTACTAGGCTCCTGAGAAAGAACATGGTTTCGGGAGTGTCTTAGTTACTTTTTTCTTTGCTAGGACAAAACACCTAACAACCACAAGTTAAAGGAGGAAAGGTTTATTTTAGCTCAGTTTGTAGAGGATGCAGTCCACAGTCGGCTGGTTCCAATGCAAGGTGGCATGGCAGAGAAGAAACAGCTCATGACATGACAGACAGGAAGCAGCCAATCTGCCTTCCTTCTTTCCCTTTTATTCCATTCAGGCTACAAGCATATTGGATGGCACCACCTAGACCCAGGGTGGGCTTTCCCATTATCCATATCCAGAACTTTGCTAGACCAATCAGTGGACTAATTTAGTTATCACACACCCTTAATCCATATTCACACACACTAGATCCAACCAGTGCTGAAAAGCCCCACCTATTAACACATGAGGCTTTGGGAGACATCTAGATATAAACCATAACAGTGAGGAACTTGGGGGGTGGTGGTAAATTACTATGTTTGGAACACAGACTACAAGAGAAAGAATAAAACATGAGGTAAAATTATATAATTAAGAAAGGTGCTAGATGACAAGTGGCTTTATAAATCAGGTTGAGGAACTGGGACTTCATTCTCAGTAAAAAAAGGAAATTAGTGAAGGCACTAAGCAAGGGAATGAAATAGTGACACCTGTATTTTAGGACAATAGTAGTGGCAGTGTAAAGAACAAATTAAAGAGAGAGACAATGGATAGAGACTGCTGCTATGACCTAGACTAGCTATAACAGCTGCCTACGGAGACTGAAAGAAATAATAATCTTCCAAGCAGCCTAAGCAAAGACTATCTTCAAAATAGCAGACAGAATATCTTCAAAGTATGGATACAAAATATCAACCTAGAATTCTATGCATAATGAAGAAAGTCTTTAATGAAGAATTAAGGTATGATGATATGATACTTTCCACAGAAGACCCAAAACACCTGGCCAAAAGACATCTAGACCTAAATGACAGATTCAGTAGAGTAGCTGGACATACAGTCAACACTCAAAAAACAACAACCTTCTTGTACACAAATAGCAGACTCACTGAGAGAGAAATTAGGGAAACAATTCCTTTTACAATAGCATCCCCAAAAAATGAAACATCTAGGAATCAATCTAACAAAGGAAGCAAAAGACCTCTACACTGAAAACTACAGCACTCTGAAAAAGGAGATCAAGAAGGATATAAGAAAATGGAAAGACATCCCTTGTTCCTGG